CCACTTCTCCAGGCCCGGGGGCCGCTGATGAAATCCTGCCTCTCAGGTCAGGGGAGCCCGGAGGCCAGAGGGCGACAGGCCCATGTCACTGTTAATGTGGAAATTACAGGGAAGATGCTGCCTTCTCCTTGGGTGAGACTGCACCCAGGCTCGGGTTCTTTCCAATCCCCAGTCCTCATCAGGAAGCTTTGGTGACTAAGTCTCTCAAAGAAAGAAAAAGGATTAAGTGAACGAACGAACACCAATAGCCTGGTTTGGGCATTCATCACATCGTCGGGTGCAGAGCTTGTACCCACCCGACTGCTCTGCTGCGTCTGTCGGCACTGAGCCTCAGCACAGTGATACCACAGGCGCGAGATAGCGGTGCTGAGACCTTACAGCCCTGTCTGGTCCTTACTCTGATCCAGTAGCTCTCTCCAACCCGTCACTATACTCTCTGCCTTCAGCGCGTTGCCCCTGCTGTTGCAGACCCCTGGGTGACGTGCCCTCATTTCTTAGAGATGCATCTGCCCCACCCCTCTGAAGGCAGGGACAATCTGGCACAGAGCAGGTGCTCAGTAAGTATGTGTCGAATGGAATTAGATTTTATAGGTAAGACGACGGAGGCCTGGAGGAATGGCAGGGCCAGGATCCAAGCAAATGGAGAGAGACACTCATACAGCTCTTCCCTTACCCACCCCTTCACCACCCCCAGGGAGAAGTAACCAGTCTGACAGATCAGCTTCAAGGGCGCCCCCTGGGAGTCCCTGAGGAGTGAAAGGTCAGCAAAGGACTGGATATTTGATGATATGAAGGAATTATTAATTTTTCTAGGTGTCATCGTGGTATTGTGATAGTAGAAAATAGTCCTTATCTTTTTGAAAAACTTACTGAAGTGTTTTTGGCTGAAATGATATATCTGAGACTTGTTTCTAAATAATCAGTGGGGAGTAAAAGTACGAGGAAGAAACAGATGAAACAACACGGGCTGTGTGCTGATCACTGGGGGGGGGAGGGGGGAAGAGAGGTTTGAAGGGGGAGGGCCAGGTGGCAGCTACATGGAAGTTCGTTACATCATTCTCTGTGTTGATGAATATGTTTGACAGTGTTCAGTTTTTATAGTCTGCCTGGGGTGTAGCTCTCTTGCCCAGGCAATGCCACCTCTTGGGTGCTCTCTCAACTCCTCCTCCAGGCAGGCGCACAGATGACCGGAGCCCTCGGCACTACGCTGTCTGCACTGTCTACGGCCTGGGGCACGATTCTGGTCCCGTGTCCCCAGCCTCACCAGGACCTCTGGTTTTGGAGGCAGATGTCCATCCCACTCAGCGGCCACTCTCAGAGAGCCTTCCTTCCGACAGCTCTTTTTCTGTTTCATGTCTGCTCCTCCTCCCTCACCCCGTCACTAAATGTTGGTGCTCCTAGGGTGCCGACTGCCTGCACTTCCCAGTCTACCGTCTCCCTGGGAAATTTCACACACGCCTGGCCTGTGTCTGAACATGCAGTTGTGCTCACAACTCACAGATGTACATTTCCAGCCTGGATCTCTCCGCTGTGTCCGGGTCAGGAGTCTTCATCTCTTGCCTCGACTGCTGGGCAGCCTGCTAACTGGTTTCTATTCCCGCCCTGCACGCCTCGATTTCACGCTGCAGCCACAGTAAGCCCACTACCTGCTAATCCTCGGCTTAAAATGCTTCTGCCTCTGTGGCTCCCTCCAGCCTTCAGAGCGAAGCCCAAACTCCTCGCCATGGCAGAGAAAGCCCCTCATGATCCAGCGACTGCTTACGTCTATGGTCTCTCAAGTTTACATGGAAGTTCATTATGTTATTCTCTACGTTTATGAATATGTTTGACAGTGTTCACAATATTTGTGTAAGAGAGCAAATATATAAGTAAACAGGACGCCGGGGGCAGGTAAAAGCTGTGAGAAGAGTTTGGAGTGGGTGCTGGCAGGGGACAAAGAAGCAACAAGACACATCAAGAGAGACAGAGCTGGATAACTAACGGAGTCGGGGGTAATGAGGAGGCAGGAGCCGCTGGTGAGGGCAAGACGGTTCTGGAACCGACCAGGAGGTGCTTCCCACTCCTGAATCCCATTCCTGGCAAAGGGAGGCCTGGGGAAGACCGTTTCTGATTTCCCAGGAGACTCCCAAGTCTTTCTTATCAACTGGAAATAAGCTCCCATTACTGGAGGTAGCCTGAACGAACCCAAAGAGCTGCAGACAGTCTCGATGGTGACTGAAGCCATGGCTGGGGACACCAGTCTCCTGGAGAACCTGCAGTGTGAGGAGAGGCGACCTGGGATGGAGCCCTGGCTGATGCTGGTTCTTAAGGGGTGGACCGCAATCAAGGACACTGAGCAAGAGAACGAGAGAGCCTGGCGGGTGAATCAGAAGCTACTGACTCAGAAGTCTCAGCAGGAGAGGGTTTCAAAGAGGAAGGAGTGGTCAGCACAGGTGTTTGAGAGACCGGGAAAGGTGGGACTTCCACGTGTCCATCGGATTTGGAGCCTTGAGGTAAGTCACTGGTGACCTTGGTGGGAGTCGTGTCAAGTGAAGGGGCAGCCAGACTGCGCGGGGCGAAGGACCAAGTGGGAGTGAGGAGTGCACAGGGGACACCCAGCAGGAGCGGACAGTCCCCCCTGCAGCCGTGTTCTCGCGGGAGGGGCAGGGGGCTGGAGAAGGGTGTGTGAGGACTGGGGAGCAGGAATGAGGGCTAGCTGAGATGAGAACTATGAGAGAGTTCCTCCAGCGACCCCACACCAGTGCAGCAGAGAAGCTCCTCAACGTGCTAACCCCAGAGGTCCAGGTTCTAGGCGGGGACCAGGGCCAGGCTAGCGGTAGAAGTGAAGGTGGAAGAGGGACCGATTTCCTCGTGAGCTCTTGCCATGAGGGAGAGATGCGGGAGGTGGCAACAGGCTGGGAGACCTGTAAGGCTTCTTCCACTTTAAGGAGCCTGAGCACATGATCACCTGGGAGGTCATTCTGGGTTAGAACGAGCTTCAGGGCTTGGCCATGGGGAGGGTGGAGGAGGTACGGGGTGTCCTGAGACCTGGAGGCAATGCCTGTGGGTTGTCTGAGGGGTCAAGGAGTCCTCTGGGAGAAAGATGACTTGAGGTAGAGAGGGTTGCTCTGAGCTGCTGCCAAGATTAGCGTATGACGGCTGGGGAACCGCAAGGAGGCAGGTGCAGGACCAGGGCAGGGAGAGAGCTGGAGAGGGAAGGTTCAGGAAGGAAACGGGAAAGGGTTCTGGGTTCTTGGGGAGGGGCACAGAGGATGCTTCGTGGTCAGAGGCCCGCAGGCAGGAATGGGCCTCCTTAGCTGGGTAGTGGCACCTTCCTGGAGCTCTGGGCAGCCGGAGCAGCCGCTGGCTCATCTCGTCACCATTTACGGTGAACAGTCGGAGCCTGTCCTCGGTGCTGGAAGTGCCCCCCCTCGGCCCTGCCCACCCAGCCCCTCACCTCTTTGATGGCTGACATGCGCACGGTCTCATAGTAGTGCAGGGGTGCGTTGGGTGTGCTCATGTCGTAGCCAAAGCCTGCGACTGCCACTTCATCACAGCCATGCAGCGCCATGGTCACGGCCACACTGCCCAGGGTCGGGATGTTCTGGAGGAGGGGCAGGTGCAGAGTTCAGCTGGAGGGCTGGGCGAGGCTGAGATCCTCAGTTAAGCTTCCCAGAGCTGAGCTCCATTCCTGAGGATTGGAACCACCCCCCTCCCGTTCCTCCTCCCACCCCCTCCTAACCCCCTCCAGTCCGTCTGTCCTTTCTTCCCAAGGTCCTTCTGACCCAGTTCCCCACCCTCTCCTGGCCTAGCCTCTCACCCCGCGGCCCATGAGGCCATTGTTGAAGGGCAGTCCGATGAGGGTGAAGGCAGCTTCCTGGATGAAATACGGGTTGAGGATACGAATCTCAGGGGGCTCCTTGGGCACTCGGGTGGCCACAGATTTCCAGAAGCCGTCCGATGCACTCTGTGGACACAGCACAGCTGGGCGTGAGCTGGGCACACAGCTGTGAGGGGACTGTGCGAGTGGCAGGGACTCAAAGGCAAATGAGAAACAAGGTGGGGGCGTGAAGCGTACTGGAGGACCCGGGGCAGGTGGGGTAAACACAGCGGGCAGAGGGAGGACGTGGTGTGTGCTGGGGACGCAGAATGTGTGAGAGACAAGGGTGTGTGGTGGGAACAGTGAGCAAATGGTGGTGCCACAGTGTGTAATGAGGGTCCAGAGTGAGCTGCACGGCAGAGCAGAGGGTGTGGGACGCTCAGGTGAGCTGCTCTGCCTGAGGGGGTTCTTGGGTCATCAGGAAGACCCAGTGGCCCAGCTGGCCCCCACCCTGCGCAGCTACTCAGGGGCCCAGGAGGAGCCTGCCCTCTCTCTCCTATCTGCTCTGCTGGGCTCGCCTCCTTTCCCTTGTGTTGTCTCTCCTGGCTCTCAGTCAACTGTTCTAAAGTGAACCTGAAAAATAAAGACAGAATGTCAGCTAGTACGGGGCCCAGAACAACACTCCAGTCCCAGTCCTGCCACCGACCAGAGCTGGTGGTCACGTGGCAAGCTCTCTGGGCTTCAGTTCCCGTAACTGCAAGATGGGACCATTCTTCCCTCAGTGATCTCAGGACCATACAGGACCGGCTTCCGCTCTGAAACCTGACATCCCGTGTGCAGTCCAGGCCACCACTGCCCCTCCTCACGCTCCCTCCCTCTAGTCCTCAGCCCTGCCTTTCTGTTCAAGACCCTGAAGCATACACTTCAGCTACTCTCTCATGAGTCAACTCCCTGCCCCCTGCCTCCCTATGGCCCCAGCCCAGGGAAGCCCTGAACTTGGCATCGGCTCTGTACCACCCTTACAACTGGGCTCCTGAGTACTGCTGGAGGAACTCACAGACCAGCCCTCAGACTGGAGGCATCGCCACACCAGGGACTCCAGCCTGTTATTTGCAGGGAGTTTGTTATTTGCCTAGAAAACCTAAAAGAATCAATGAACTTAATGGGTAAAATAATTTAGTAATAGGATCTGTACTCCAATAGGAAAGTCACCAGATATAATATAAAAGAGATCCCATTTGCAATCCGAACAAAAAAAATAATCAAATACTGATCAATAAACTTAAGTATGTGGGATCTGTAGTAAAAAGGAAAAAAAAAAAGCTGCAATCCTTTGAGAGATCTAAAAAATTACTTGAAAAAAAATGGGAGACAAGCCATATCTTGGATGAGAAGGCTGAATATTAACACAATGCCACTTCCTCCCAGATTAAAGTAGGCTTAACTTAATTCTAAGAAAAATCCCAACAGGATTTCTTTTTTGAAATGTACTGAAAGGATTCTAAAAACCCATCCAAATATTTAACAGATACATTTAAAAATTAGATATGAGAGTATATTATAAGTTTGCAATGATTAAAGCACTGACAGATGTCTAAGAATCAACACAAAGATCAATGAGCCAAGACAGCCCAGAAGCAGGTCAGTCTGCATGCACGCGCTTAGGTTATATGACGGGAAGCTGCACCGTCGGCGGGAACAAGGCGAGTTTCTCAGCAAGTGATGTTTGAAAATTTGCTACTTAGGAAAAAAAGAGCCACTCACTGCCTCTCCTGCTAGAAGGAAAAGGAAAAGAAAATTTAGATGTATATTTTACCATTGAGCTTCCTAAACATTAGTGCAATGTTAGAAATCAAGAAGAAGGTCAATGAATTCTGACTTTGTAAACACTGTTAGTGCTTTGGTTCATAAAAAATATAATAAGTAAAATTAGGAAGGAAACAAAGAAGTGGGAAATATTGTCATAAATAATACATATTTAAAAAATTCATAAAAAGTCACCGTACCCCCCCAAATGGGAAAAGAACATAAAATAAGGTTAGTAAGCATGAAAAACTCATTAGTGATAAAAATGCAAATTTGTGTAACCAGATACTATTTTTATCCTCTAAAATACAGGGTGTGGCAAAAGTAAGTTTACAGTTGTTTGTATGGAAAATACAATAATTAATAAATGATAATACAAGAATAAACTGTTTTGTGTACTCACAATTATAAACCTGCTTTTGCCCCACGCTGTGTGTGTGTGTGTGTGTGTGTGCGCGCGCGCGCGCGCGTTGACTTATGTGTGTCTCTCAGCTTGCGGTGCTGAGCTGAGGTAGAACTCGCCTACACTGCAATCTGAATATGAAACAAAAGCTTCAAGGCTGTTCATACCCGATGACTGTGTGGCGAAGACCTTTGTAAAAAGCTGTTTAATACAGTGTTATTTATAAGAGTGAAAAACCTGAAAAAAATACAAAAGTGTATAACAGAGATTTGGTTAAACAATACATCTCTCGAAAAAAATGTTAAGAGACATCAAATGTATGTTTCCTAAGGATTCTGTCACGGGGATGTACATACGTATTTAACCTATTTCCCCACATCTGCTCCTGCTCCTCCTGTGCTCCCTCCAATGAACCAGAAACCTCAGATTCGACTTCAGATTCTTCATCTCTCCAGCCCATCCTGTCCCACTGGTCATCTAGTTCTTTTGATTTTATCTTAGAACCCCACAGACCCACCCCTTCCTCCCAAACACACTGCTTCACGGAAATCCAGGTCTCATCATCTTCCAATGGGACTACTCTAACAACTGGCCATTTACAGCATCTGTCTTGTTGCCTGCTCAGAGCCCAGAGTCCAGTCGAGTGGCTGGAACATACAGTAATTGTTAAACTCCATCCATTTAGCGAACAAACATGTAATGAGTGCCTGGATGGGCTGCCTCTGCCTCGAAACCACTTTCCTCTCTCTGCCAGATGCTCGTTCTATGTACAAAGCAGATCACATCACCACTGCCCACAGACCTGAGCTTTCCAGCCAGTAAGCCGTCTGCCACTCGTTTCCATTCCACCCACCTGAGGTCCCCACCTGCTAACTCATGACTCCATGCTTTCGCTGTGCCGCTCCTTCTGTCTCCAATGGCCTTCCCACATCTACCCACCTCATCCAACCCACTTATTTTTTAAGACTTGGCATATCCTTCTTCCTCATGTCTTTCCTGGCCCCATTCCTCCCAAGGCATGAATGACCTCTAACCTTTGGGAAGTGATAGAATATAGAGTTATATCTGCTATGGTTTGAAGGTAACCCTCCTCCCCCTACGTCCCCAAAGTCAAGGTGGTGGTATTAGGAGGTGAGCCTTTAGGAAGTGATTAGTTCATCAGTGGGGAGCCCTTATGAGTGGGATCCATGCCCTTATAAATGAGGTCCCAGAGAGATCCCTTGCCCCTTCCACCGAGTGAGGACATACCAAAAAGAAGGCAGTCTAGGAACCAGGCAGCCCTCAGCAAATACCAACTCTGCCAGTGCCAGGATCCTGGACTTCCCAGCCTCCAGAATGGTGGACACAAATGCCTGTTGTTTATAAGCCACCCAGTCTGTGGTGTTTTGTTATAGGAGCCTGAACGGACTGGATGCAACTTCAGCTCTAGTTCCTCACTGTGGGGAGACCCTGGGCAAGGAGCTCACCATTTCCTATGGGTAAACCAGGATACTATCAGGATTTATCTTATGGTCTGTTGTGGGAATTAGGTAATTCGGGCTGAGTGCCAGCTCACAGTCACCTGATCGGCTGTTTTCATCACCATTGTTAGCGGTGTATCTCGACCCTAAGCCATGCAGGGCCGAGGTTCACACCTGATCCACGTCTGTAGCCCAGCACAGCCCCTGGCAGTGAGTGTTAAGGGGGCATGAAGTCCATCTGAGGCTCCTCCATTGCTCTCAGCAGCAACAAAGAGCTCCCCACTGGTCAGGACTCCTTCGGCTTATCTTCCACTGCCTTCTGTGGGCTGACTCTGCTCCAGCCACACCTCTGCGGCAACATCTCGTTCTCTGGTAAAGTCTATCTGTCCTCCCAGCGTAGGCTCTTGGAACAACTTCCCTGTGTCCCAGCACCTGTGCGACTGAGAGCAGCCTCCAGTCCGTCTTGCTCCTGTGTCTCCCTCTGTGTCCAGGAGAGGTGTGTGTGCAAGGGGGTAAAGACAGGGACACCAGGACCCAGTAGGAAAGGGGAGGGTAGAGAAACGGCCTGCATCTGATACAGAGCTGGGGAGAAGCCCCTCCTGGGAGGCCCAGATGTGGACGAAAGGAATGGCAGGTGCCAGCCTGTGCCAGGTGAGGCACAGCCCCTGTCCCCTCTCCAGAGCCCGGCAGGCCCCAACAGTGCCCCACCTGGGGTTCCTGCCCATGCGTGCCCCACACACACCTGAGGAGGAAAAAGCGCAGGGGCTGCTTGGGAGGGGGAGGGAGAGCCAGGAATGGGCACAGCTGGGGGTGTGCCAGGCTCCGGGCTAGTTTTCACAGACATTATTTACATCTCATCAACCTTCACCAACTTCACAGGTACGGACTCAAGATGAAGCAATCTGTTCAAGGTGATGCAAGGGTGATGCCAAGATTCACACACAGCGTCCTGACTCCAAGATGGGTGTTCTTGCTGCCATAACGTATATTATCGTCACTGCTGTTCCCCCTCAGAAGTCGAAGGTAAGGGTCCCACACCCCGTTTCACAGAGGAGACCTGCCCACGATGCACACACAGCTGGAGAATCAGAGCTGGATCCAACCTCAGAACCTGGGTATTTCCGTGACGTGAGATGCCATCTCTGAAACCATGTCTCTCGGCTTTTCCCAAGCACCGAAAGTCCCGGATGTAACCACCGTGTGAAACTGTAGGAGGTTACACTCTGAGAATCTGACAAAGGCTTCAGGGGGGAGGGTAAAGCTTCTGCCTCTCCCACCCGCACCCGTTCCTGGGCAGGGAGTACGTGGAGGCAGAGCCTGCCCCTGGGAGCAGCATCCTGGTCTCTGCCTCGTTCACGGTGTGCGGGGAGCTCAGCGGGCTTGCGCTTGGGTCTCAAGCCCCAGTCAGCCTGCACTGGAGCAGTGGGAACCGGCGCAATGAACAGCCCAGGGCTTCTATTTTATCTTCCCCAACTGTC